TCCTGATGCTGAGGTTATTTTCTACTACTTGAAACATTATCACAGATTCTCAATACATAGCTAAACTTGTTCCTCATATTTTTATAGCTGTGTTATGCCCTCATTTGGATTCCAATTTACCGTCTCTTTTATTTTTACCCTTTAAACTCCTTTTCAGCACCGTACATCTCCTCTCTTCCTTGCTCATATACACAGCCACACCTCTGTCACACACTGACAGAGGGTAACACTCACACGGACTAAGCATGTGATTCCCTTACCCTTCATTTCCAGATGCTGTAAAATCTCATGGATTTCTTCATTCAAACCCTTGCTCACTAGTAAAGATGTTTCCATTTCTTCCCAACAAGCTCATCTGTGGTCAGTAACTGTTCCCCCACCTTCCAGGCTCCTGTGTGGGATTGTGTAAATCCATGGGCCTGTGTTCTAGTGCACTTTGGCAAGTGGATGTGACCTGTTTCCCTCCTTTTCATCCTTGTACCTTTCTTCATGTTTTTATTGATAATCACTCTGGGTTTATTGGGGTAGTGCCCACAGGTCTAAAAAAGTATCCATTTACCTTTCTTATTTATAACTCTACTTTGCCACTGTGGGAAAGTCTAAAAAATGGATAATGCCCCTGCATACATATCCTATGTTTTTACACAATCTTATACTCACTAAAATATAATCTAACCCATAAAATTCCTGACAAGATCTAATTAAGTAAATATGTTTTTCCCTGAAGACATATCTCTTAAAACAAAAAAGGGGATCTAGACTCTCTCTTGTTAATAATGCCTTGAATATTGCTTTATTTACAGTTAAAGCACTCAACGTGCAATACAAAGTTATTACTCACAAATGCTCATCTGCCTTAGATAGGCATTTTATTCCCAAACATCCATTGCCAAAAAATTTATGTAAAATATAGGGTTTCACCAGACCCAGGGTTAGAAGACCCCATGCCTCTTATCACATGGGGAAGGATGGACTGCCGTGCCCACACCAGCAGGTCCTGTGTGGACTCCAGCTCGGTGGGTGAGACTTGTCAATCATGAGTTGGCATCAGGGACTTCACAACCCCATCCCCAAGTTCCATTTGGATGAGGAGGATTCCACTGAACCAAAAGACAACCACTCTCCTCAAAAAAGAAAGAACAAGAGGGCCCTGTGATATTCAACCTCCAGTGATTTGGGGGAGATAAAAAATCATCAACAACCTCAGATCAACGGCTGTTGGCTAAAAGGGGGTTAAAACACACTGCAGAAAATTTGGTCACTGCTTTGTTTGCCAAACTTACACACAAAACTCTGTCAATGTTTTGATCCTTATGATAATGTTGTTCTGCTGATGTACCTCAGCTATGGGAAATCCAGAAAAAATCAGACTTCTTGTTCATAGATGGATGTTTCCCAATGCTGGGATTATTATGTTGGCTTGTTACTGTTAATACCTACCCTATTTTTTTGCCTCTGCCAATATTAAAGAGAAAACAAATGTTATTCATCCAAAAGGCCATACAAAACAAGAAAGGTGAGCTGTAAGGATTCTGGCTGTAGAATGTACAAGGCGCCTTCCTCTGGTGGGAAAACTCCCGGAGGGTAACAGGCACCCTGTTATCCACTTTGGAATATTCTACAGTTTCTCCCTGGAACTAGTAAGATGACTAATACATGCTCAATGCTAGCTGCTATGGCAATGTCCTTGGAGAGGGGACTCTGTGCTAGAGTCTTATCAGCCTTGACCTTGATCTCAGACACTCAGCTGGGAATACAGGAACTTTCTTAGATACCACTGTGTCACTGCACCTAAACCTGCTCACACAACACCACTGTGTCACTGCACCTAAACCTGCCCACACAACAGTAACGTCACACAATGAGCAAAACGAACGGATGATGTCAATGACCTAATGTAACCTATGGATATGAGTAAAGCTGGCAGCTCAGATGAGCAGCCCCTTTTACTCTGCTCCTGTACCTTGCTCACCTGTGTGTCTTTTAGTTTTTCTTTGGTCTCTCTCCTTTGTCTCCCACCCACCATGAGGCGAGCAGCCTCCTCTAGCTCAGCCTCTCCGCCATGATGATCTGTCTTACCACAGGCCCTGCAGCAGGGAAGCCAACCAAGCATGGACTGAAACCTATGAAACCATAACCCTTTCCCTGCCCGCTTCAAGGTCATCCTCTCAGGTGTTCTGTCATAGCAATAGGAAGCTGAGAAACGCAGTGAACCGCCGTTGTACTGAGACAGCGAATGTTGGAAGTCTTTTTGGTTACTACAAAGACTTCCCTTAATAAGGCCCTGAGGATGAATATTTAAAGAACATCATGGATTCAGATGATTTTAAACAAGTCACAATAATTGAAGTGACTAATTAAAGTATCACTCAAGTAACTTGTCATCATTTTTGAGACAGATTCATTAAGTTGCCAGGCTGGCCTTGAACTTGTGGACCTCCTGCCTCAGTCTCTCCAGTCGCTGGAACTGCAGGTATGCACCCCACACCCAGCCTTCCAAGTGAATTAATGCAATTCCTTGTGGAAAACAAATCCACCATATACACTGATCCTCTCTATTTCCGTTCACATAGCCACAAACAAATGGCACAAAGCACTCAAACCACGCTGTCCCTTACCCTGAAAGTTGAAATGATCCCTGAGCCCACAGTAAAGATGGATGTTTGTGCAGTTTAAGGTGTTAGCCACTGTGTATAGAGGGAGTAAAGATGGAGCTCCAACTCCACCCAGCCTGTAGGTGCATATCCAGGACCCCGGGAAGAGCTGACACACCTGCAGGTGCACACCCAGGACCTTGGGCAGGTAGATAGCAGCGATCAGCCTCCTCCTGGGCTTCACCAATGCATGTTGGGTGTGACCGGCTGCTGAGAATCACAGAAGAGCCTAAATACAAGGAGTTGCCATATCTGTATTTACATATCACATAGCACACGACTCAGTGCCCTCTGTGACACTGACAGAAAGTAACATGGAAACAACAGTAAAAAGTTCTGAGAGTTGAGAAAACATCCTGTTTGAAAATTTTCCACTTCAGTGTTTTCTTGAGAGGGGCTGATAGCAAACCCAGGGCCTTGTTCTTGGTAAGCCTGCACCGGCGAACCGCTCCCCATCCCCACTGAGGTGTTCAAGCACTAAAGG